GGAATGTCAAATGCTTTCTGAACGTTGTGAGCCCTCGAGGCTGCCCTCGGCATCCTCAAAGGGAGGGAAATGCTGGGCAGTGGCACTCTGGGATCAGCTGCCTGCCAGGGTCCAGTGGGGCACATCTGGGAGCCCAAAGTAGGAGTCAGAACAGAAGAAGTGACTATTTCCCTACCAGTCTACACTGCCCATCTTTTCCAGAGGTGGCCATTTTAGGGAGGGCACGAAAATATCAGATTTTTAAAGGGAAGCTGTCTTGAGTCTCACTTTGCATATGAGACAGAAGAATCCAGGAGGCCTCAGAGGACCAAAACACTAAGTATGGGCAGTAATTAGCAGCTTCAAAGAGCACCTCACTTCACTGCATGAAGCCATTCATTTAGTCCTCTAAATGGCTCTGCTGGGGCTTTGCCACAGGTGTTACCCTCAGCTTCATGCCCACAACTTCACAGAGAACCCCAGGCAAGGAGCAGAAATTTGAAGCTCCTGGAAACCATCCCATTCCTCCTAACAGCAAACAAGTCAAGTGGTCACTTGGGGAGAGACATAAGCAACATTCCTCAATACTGTATGGTAAAAGCACACAGATGGAGAAGGGTGGAGGATGAGAGGACCCTCCTGCCTCAGAGGAAGGTGCTGGATGCTGTGTCATGGATTAATTCACATGATTCCTAAGATGCCTGCAGTGAAGTAAAATCAAGGGGATTGGGCCGTGTCCTGTGCATCTCTGCTGATCTGCTCAAGAGTATTTGGCTTTAGCTTTCAGTAACAGTTGCTTTTCTGGTGAACTTTGGACATTACCAAAGACAACAGAGCCCCCCAAGGACTCATGTCAGACCTTACCCACAAACCAAGAGCGATTAGCAGGAACAACATCAAAAAGTGAAATTTCCCCTTCTAGTCCCTCTTCTATGGAAAGCAACCTCTCCTACCTTAAACTGATCTCCAACTTCACCCTTAATGACGGGGCCCAGAATTCCCTTGTCCGGCTGATCCGACACCTTGCGCTTCCTGAAGGTGGCATCCTCGTACTCCACGTACACCACCTTCTTGTATTTTGAACCCACCCGCTGAGGGCCAGGCTCCAGGAACAGGCTGGTGATGTTTCTGCAGGCAAGGCAGAGAAAGAGCAAAAAACATGCAGGATGCTGCCAGAACTGGAGCAGGACCTTCCACCATCCAAGGACCTACACAGCTGCCTTAGGACTGTCAGTGCACGGTGGGGACACAATGTGCATCCTAGGGAACAACCTTTCAAGTGATTCAGTGCTTCTTTAATGGACAAAGATCCAACCAGGTTGCACAGCAGGAGCCTTGGGTGGACACTGCCCTGTCTTGGAGGGAAGTGGTGACTGTGAGAGCTGAGAGCGCGGCAGGTTGTTCTGTGTCAGGGGACATCCCCAGTATGTGGGCATAAGGCAACAGAGCCTTTTCATGATCATCCTACCTCCTTCCCAGAAGCAAGGCAGGCCTGTATGGAGGAGGAACCCCATGGACACACAGTCCCACTCTCACCTGTCCAGAGACACTGGCTTGGTGGGGGCATAGTCCCAGTCCACCTCCTCAGCCGCGATGTAGTGAGTCCAGGTCACGGGCTTCTCTTTGGCAAAGGAGCGCACCTGGATCACGTGGTAACTTTCCTCATCTTCTTCAGGGTAATCCGTGTACTCTGCCTCAACTGACTGCTTCCCCATCTTCACCAGGCGCTCCTCCAAACACTCCTCCACCTTCACAAGGGCCTCCATGCCAGCTGGGTTCAGACAAACCAGACAGAAAGGGTCACACTGACGTGCCAGCGCAGACCTGCGCTCCCCCAGGCTCTGCTTGCCAGGTGTCCTCTCCACTATCAAATGGGTCATCACGTATCATAGAATCCTAGGGGTTGGAAGGGACCTCGAAAGATCATCTAGTCCAACCCCTCTGCCAGAGCAGGGTCACCCAGAGCACATCACACAGGAACGTGTCCAGGAGGGTTTTGAATGTCTCCAGAGAAGGAGACTCCACAACCTCCCTGGGCAGCCTGTCCCAGGGCTCTGTCACTCTCACAGCAAAGAAGTTCTTCCTGAGATTCACCTTGAACCTCCTATGCTCCAATTTGAACCCATTACCCCTTGTCCTATCACTGGTCATCACTGAGAAAAGCCTAACTCCATCTCCCTGACACTCACCCCTTACATATTTGTAAACATTGATGAGGTCACCCCTCAGTCTCCTTTTCTCCAAACTAAAGAGACCCAGCTCCCTCAGCCTTTCCTCAGAAGGGAGATGTTCCACTCCCTTAATCATCTTTGTAGCTAAACGTAGGTTAAAGGTGTGTCATCCTGGTCACGGGCCAGACTGCCCGTGGATGTAACACTAAGGAGCAGGAGGAGCCTTGGAGCTGCAGCACTGCATAGAACCCCAACCCTGTGCTAACCCCTGAACTTCTTTTCCCCCAGGCTCTTGCAGAATAAGATTACCTTGCTGATGGGACAGTATCTGGCAGTACATCCGAAACCAGCCAGCTGTTACTGGCATGGTCTGGGCTGTAAGATACGTGGCAGGAGAGACTTCTAGGCTGCTGAGACGATGGCCTCTCACCAGGAATGTGTGGCCTTCAAAGAAGATAGAGTGGACTTCTGGCCCAGTGCCCAACCCAATAACATGCCAGTGGACCTGCTTCTTGAGGCACAGTGTGAGACCTGCCAGGAGAGAAAGCATCCAGATGTCAGCACTGTGTCCATCCCTTGTCCCCACTCTTGACGTCATGGACTCGGAACCTGGCAGGCTACTGTGTAGATTCCCCAGCACCAGAAAGTGGTGGCTTCAAGCTGGAGAAGTTGGATGTGAATGTTGACTGTCCAATCAAAACAGAGCACAGGCCCCATCACCCCCCTCAGATAAGAGTAGATGTACAGTGTTGGGGGTCTTGGCAAGTGTGATGGTGGGAGCTCACGGCGGGATGCAGTGGTGACAGCAGATGTGCTCCTGGACTCTAGAAATTGGGGAATCAGGAACTGGAAGGGGGAACCATTTGATCACAGCACTGGCAAGCCCAATAGTAAAGCATTGCACCTGGGACAGGGCTCCAGCACATCCTCAGTAGTAGCTGAGATACCCCAAAAAGGGCAGAGAGAGGTCACCAGGATTATTTGAAGGCTGGAGAAAATTCCTTCCTCAGAGAGACTCAGATTGCTCAGTGTGCTTAGGAAATGGGAGAGGATTTGACTGCACTGTAAAAATATTTTCCTGGGGAGAAATTAGTGTGTGCTGAAGGGCCCTGTAATCTAGAGGGAAGTGATTAACAAGAACATATTCCTGGAAGCTGAAGCCAAACAAAGTCAAACGTAGAGTCAAGAATCTGGTTTTGGCACTGAGAGTGATAGGTGACTGGAACAGATCCCAAAACCCTGGGAGGAGAGAGGGTGGAGTCCTCATCCTGAGACACTCAGCTCTCCATCAGACACCTCTTAGGCCAGGTCCTGCAGCCAGACAGAGGGTTGCTGGGTGGAGGTGGATACCTTATCAAGGGGAAACCCACGATGTAGACACAGTGGCTGACCACGTGGCTTACTCAGCTCTGAAGCTTCATGGATCCACCAGGACAGGGAATTCAGGATAGTTTTGCTTTTGCTACCTTGAGTTTACAGACCTGGCTGCAGCCCTGTCCCTAGCACCTCCCATGCCCTCCATCCCTGTCCTATGCTCACCAGGCAGTGAGCCATTGATGTAGCCATTGATGGTGTGAAGATCCATCTTCTTGTGCAGCAGGGACTGAGGAGCTGCTGGGGAGCCAGGCTCAGAGTACCAGCTTTTCCCTGTGGAGAGAGGAGGATGCAATCAGCTTTCACTTGAGAGCATTTCAGAGGAAAAGGAAACCTTCCTACCAGGGTGAATTGATAACAAAGCCAAAACCCAGGGAAGAGAGATATGTGGTGCCTGTTAGAAATCCACAGCAGACCTTGCTGTGGCTCTGCACTAATCCAGTAGTGACCACTGCACATGACAAGGGCATTACTCCCCTGCAGCTTTAGCCTGTGTGGTGGGAACAAGGTCAGGGCACAGGATGGGAGAGCTGGGAGAGCCTGCAAACTCCCCCCAGCCGGGGCACAGAAGGAGAGGCAGTTCTGCACCTGGAGCACACTGGGTGGGGGACTGTACAAAGCTCAAACCCTTGGGACCCTCAAACCCTTGGGAGGCAGTGTGGGACCTGAGCAGCTGCACTCACACGGGGGACTGTACAAAGCTCAAACCCTTGGGAGGCAGTGTGGGACTTGAGCAGCTGCACTCACACAATGGCCTTGTGCAGCAGGGACTGAGGAGCTGCTGGGAAGCCAGGCTCAGAGTACCAGCTTTTCCCTGTGGAGAGAGGAGGATGCAATCAGCTTTCACTTGAGAGCATTTCAGAGGAAAAGGAAACCTTCCTACCAGGGTGAATTGATAACAAAGCCAAAACCCAGGGAAGAGAGATATGTGGTGCCTGTTAGAAATCCACAGCAGACCTTGCTGTGGCTCTGCACTAATCCAGTAGTGACCACTGCACATGACAAGGGCATTACTCCCCTGCAGCTTTAGCCTGTGTGGTGGGAACAAGGTCAGGGCACAGGATGGGAGAGCTGGGAGAGCCTGCAAACTCCCCCCAGCTGGGGCACAGAAGGAGAGGCAGTTCTGCACCTGGAGCACACTGGGTGGGGGACTGTACAAAGCTCAAACCCTTGGGACCCTCAAACCCTTGGGAGGCAGTGTGGGACCTGAGCAGCTGCACTCACAAAGTCCTGTGGCCCAGACCAGGCTGAATTCAGGGTCCAAAACCAGTCAACAGGGTAGTTACCTTCATCAAACACTGCGAAGAGCATCACAAACTCTTGCTGCACATCCTGGTTCCCACTGCTCGTCAGGGTCCCTGCAAGATGCCATGGGAAGGATCTCTTTCAAAGTCAGCAAGCACCATGCCTATCTTTCCAGGAAATTCTCTTTGTGCCCTCCAAGAACTGATAAATCAAGGCCAGGCTGTGAATTGCTTTTGTCACATCTCACAACTGACACAGTCCTGTTCCCAGCCTTGCAGTCCCCAAAAGCCCACGGTTGAGGGGCAGCTGCCTCCAGAAGGCATCAAAAGGTCAGTTTGTGCTGCTTGCCCCTCACAGGCTTTCAGGAGCCACTTAGTCACTTGGAAGAGCCCATTTTATCTAGCCCCATCTTCAGCACCATTGTCTGTGCTAGTCACTTCCCTCAGTGGAGAAACTGCCCCTGGTGAGCCTCTGGAGCCTGCAGACAGTGCCCTGGGAGGAGGTGACTCATTCCCATTCCTCTCCAGTGACTAGAAAGGAGTCTGGACTACTACCTCCAGGAGATGGCTCAATCAGAGATGACCAATCCCTCCCCAGGTACACTTCTTGGTGCCTTGCAGCCAGCAAGTATTAGCACTTTGTATTTAATCACCTCCATATTTACAGAAGGAAAGTGAGGAGGCACAGGTGCTGAGGACTAGGCAGTGCCCCAAGTGTTCTGCCTCTCTCCTGCCTGATCCTTAACCATTGCTGATACAAACTAGTTATTTTGACAACACAGGGTTTGACAAAGCATCCTGGTTGACACTGGACAATCACAACCTGGGGAAGCTCTGAAGGAAAGACAAACATCCATGCCTCCATAGCAATTCACCTTATGGACAGGTAAATTCAGATGCAAGGCAGAAGATTTCATGTGTGGTCTGAAATCTTGCAAGGGAAAGAAGCAACCAATTCCTCTTCTGCATGGAATTCCAAATTCTGTTTGGCTCCTCTACTGGGATGTGACTCTTTGAGGAAAGGGCCAAACCCCAAAAGTGCTGCTGCTGACCCGTTTACTGATTCCACTACCACGTTCAGCCTCTGGAAGGCACCTTTGATTATTCTGCTTTTCAGTTCACAGCTGCATGTGACCTGTGCCCAGCCCGTGCTGTCCTTACCAGGTCGGCACACAAGCAGGGCTCCAATCAAGCCAGAGTTGATGTCCTTCACACTGTCAGTGTTGGAGGAGTAGGAGTGGGTCAGGCATGGCGAGTCACCATCTGTTGGGCCCTGGTTCTGCTGAATTTCCCAGATGTATGTATGTGTCTTCCCTGGATCCACCTTATCACCCTCTTTCTCTGGCTGGCTGGTCTCATCCTCATAACCTGCACCTAAAGCCAACAGAACAGCCAGATGTCACTGAAGGTCCATCCCCAACACACAGAAATGCCTCTTCCCCCACCCCAGAGCACAGCCTCTCTCCACTCCAGCCCCCGGGGCCAGCCCAGCTGCCACCAGCCATGGCTGCTCTCAGGGCAGTGAGCAGAGCGGTGCCAAAGACACTTGTTGGGCTGTGTACCCACCACCTGGCCCTGAGAATCCAGCCTCAGGTTTGACCTCTCTACCTGCTGCAGGCTTGCTGTGACCTGTTTGCCCATCTCAGCTCGTTCTAGGCTGAGCATGGTCTTGTTCCCCCAGGTTAAGCCAACTCTGTGACCAGCTGTCACAGAGACGTGGGTACCAGGGGCAGGAAGGGATGCATTCCCTCCTGGCAGGCAGCAGAGCAGGAGGTGCCACACAAGGGCTTGCAGCACCTGGCTGCTGTTGCCTGACTCACCTTCTGATGCCTTCCAGTAGGACACCCCAACAGCATGGAGGTTGTATGGGCGGGAGGCCAGATTCTTAAACGTGATGACCACTGTGTCATAGACTTCTGCTCGGATGGTGGGGCCCAGGAGACCTGAAAGGGGAAAGACAACAGGGTTAGGCAGATGGGGTCAGGCAGCTCATCCCCATCCATGGGCCCAAGGGGGCTGGGCTTTCCACCTGCACAAGTAAGAGCCCTTGTCCCTTACCCAACATGGCATTATCTACTCCTCCAGCACCAGTAAGGCTGCCTGCAGCCCCAGCAGCTCTGCCATACTGGAATTCTACCCAGGTGCCCCCCCATTCCTGACCAAGGAGCTGCCAGCCCTCAACTCAGGATGAGTTTGGCCACTGCCTAGGAGAGCTACAGCTCACCTCACTGTGGGTGCTTCTTACCCATCCACGCTGGCTTGGGCTTGGGCTGCGTGAACGAGGCATCAGGGTACTCCACAAACACAGCCTTCCTGTACTGGGGAGGGACATCAGGCGTGGGGGGCCATGGGCCTGGGGGCCTGGACATACTGCAGGAGGAAAGAAAAGCCAAGGCTTGATCGTGCAGCCCCATTCACAGACAGGCAGCAGCTATCCTCTTCCTCCCCTCCCTGCCAGCTTGCCTGCACTGTGCCAGCCCCAGGGATCACTCAGCCTGTTGTGTCCATTGGGTTTCCTGACAACCCCCAGGTGTGTTTGGGAATGTTTTGCTCAGCTTATGGATGATTAATATTACAGTGTTAGTCACCCTGGAGGATGACACAAGGGCAGGAGGCATAGCACTGCACCCAGTTGCAGCTGGGGGTGGGCACAGCCACAACAACAGCATGACCCTTCTGCCTTGTGCTTCCCCATCAGCAGAGACCCAGGCCCTGGGGAGTACTGTGAGAGCAGTGCCACAGTGGCCTCTGCCCTGCAGCCACCCCCCCAGACCCATCCCCAGCAGGGTCAGATGTGGCAGATGTCACACCACATATATATAACCTGGAGCATCCTTCCCAGCTCCTCCCCCTCCCAGGTAAAAGACTACGTTGGGCTGCAAGGCAGGTCACAGCAGTTTGCTCTGTGGGGAGAGCAACATCCCTACATTTCTTTCTTCTCTGACCAAACTGGGATTCACAGCCAGCCTCCAAAACTCTAATCCTTGCACCAGGAGGACATAGGAGCCTTGAATGTGTTTCACACCCCACTTACTGGCCACTGCCTCTCTGTAAGTGGCTTAACAAAACCATTTTCCAGAAGGAATCCAGCACATTTATCAGGATAACAAAGCCATTGAATTCTCCAGGGATTTTAGAGCTTGGCTTATCAGCCCTGGGACTAAGACCTTTTCCAGTAACCAGACAGACTGCTTCAAGCCTTGTTTTGTTTGGAGCAAAAGCCATGTAATATTTTCTTCCCTCTGAAGAAGCAGGGAGGATGGTTCTCCCCATCTGACTAAACCTTCATTCAAGCAGTTGTTTGCTTGTGACTCTTCCTCAAGAGGAAGAGGAAGGAGTCAGAGTGACTTAAATTTAGGAAAAGGTGACACACGCTGGTCCCCACACAACTGGCTGGAAGCCACCTGCAACTGGAGGATGTTGTGGGGAGAGCAGGGTTCTCCCTCTCTGGGGACAGAGCAGGACAGGCGTCCACAAAAATCCTATGCACATCCAGCTCCTGCCTTTCCCAGCATCCAGCTCCAACTTCTCCCACCACAGCAACAACCTCACGCTCGTTCTGGCTGGCAGGAAGCCTTCAGCAGACACAGCCCAGTGAGCAGGGTCACTACATTCAGATGACTTTGCCCATGAGCTGTTATCATTCCTGGCTCGATGGCCGTAGGGTCCAGATCAAGCTTTTGCTCCCCTCCACGCTGGGAGGTGGCAGTGCCACGGGGTCACTGGCTGCTCACTGCTGGGAAGCTGTGCCTTAATCTCTGACTCACAAAAAGAATATGAGGGTCTGCTCCTGCTAATTCTGCAGTAAATAAGGCACAAATTGTCCGAAGCCAGGGAAATTCTGCTGGAATGTGCGGGCATGGCTGGGAGGAGACTTGTTGACACCAGGGCTCAGCACCAGGTCCCAGCTGGCACAGCAAAGCCTGACAGACTTTGCATGTGACAAGGAGGTGGATTTCATCACAGGGACATCTGATCCAAGTGGTTCTGGCAAGTCCTCTGCAATTAAGGTCCCCGTGGACTTCCTATCCCAAGGGCAGCTGAAGCCAAGGCAGGGACGTGAGTTCCTGGCGCCTTCAATCAGCATTGTTAGCTGCACTATCTGTTCATCTCTCGGAGCCCAGAGACAGCCAAGGTAAACACCCTGCACTGCTGAAGCACTAAACAGAGGCTGCTGCTACGTGGCCACCAGCTCCTAGACTGAGCTGAGATCCCTGGGGCCATCACAGGACGTGCTGGTCCTAGCTCTGACCCTGCTGGTAGGGCTGTTTTTGGGAGGAAGAGAAACTGAATGCATGGGGCAGGCGCACGCAGCTCTGGCCTGGCGTGCTCTAGTCCATTCATTTGGCAGAGATTCCAACAAATGTGTGAGAGGAACCACTGGACACCTAAAGGAGTTTTGCAGGTCATGCCTGGAGGTGGACCCTTGGGGGCTGTCATGAGATGCTGGTACCATGAGAGAGAATGAATGGAGCAGAAGACACCCCACACACAGCTTGGAGGTACCCTAGTTCCAGGAGCAGCTCTTCCTCTGCATGCCCCTTCTCCCCAGCCTGGCTGTCTTCCTGTGCCCTCCCCATGTGGGGGGAACTGTGCAGAGAAGCTGCAGGGCCAGGGAAAAGGCAGAGTCACCCAGCTGGGAACAGCCGTGCTGAGCAAGCCCTGGTTCCCACCACGGCTCCCCAGGCAGTGACACTGCTCAGGTGTGCCCTGCCTCTCTGGGGTGGAGAATGCCACCAAGTCCCTCTGAGAAGATCAAAGATATCTTTCCCCATTTAAGAGGAGGTCAAGTGACTTCAAACTGCCTGCCAATGCCCAGCTCATGCCCAGGGCAGGGCCAGGACCCTGAGTCATTTCTGGGTCAAAAATGGTACGTGTGTCATTAAAGCCTGTGCTGAAATGGAAAGCTAGAGGGTTGAATTAACAGCACGAGTGAACTCACCTCCACAGTGGCCTAATGGATCTGAATCCAACCTTAGTAAAAGCAGGGCAGGGAGGGCATTAGTAAAACAGGGAGTGCTGAACACAATTTTCCTACTGAAGTAACCAAAGGAGGGAGAGGGAAACAACTGATACAGTGATCATGGCAACTAGGCAGGCTGTCCTGGCTCATCACCTGGTTTCCAGAGCAGCTCCTCACTGCTGGGGCTGACATGACCCCAGCACAGGGCCTGGGGAGCAGGATGTGGAGGTGGGGAAGAGAGGTGTGTGGTTTGATCCACAGAGGACACAGGCATCCAACTCTGCTCCATATGCAGAGCTCAAAACAGCCCCTTCACAGTCTCCTGTGTCCAAACCAGCCGTGTCTTCAGACAACACCATCCTGAAGCCTGAGAAATGCAACTGCTTCTTTTCCTTCCTATTCAAAGTACCCAGGCTAAACCAGCATGTCTTCCTCCCTCTTGTCACCATGTATGGACACTGTTCTTTGCCAAAGCACTAAAGATTATTTTAATTCCTTTAAGGAAAAATTTCAGCCCCAGAAAGGTAATGCATACAAATATATAAGCAACTAAAGCTGGGCTTTACCAGGGGCGAGCACAGTGGAGAGCCCCCTACCCTGCCCCCAGAGTGGTCAGGAGGGCACAGCCAACCTCCCTCTGCAGCCCCCCAGGCAGGGAGGCACAGGACCCCATCTCCCCTTGCATTGTCCCAAAGCTTCCAGGACACAAAGCAGAAGAGAAAGCACAGGCTGGAGAACCAGCTCTTACCTCTAGGCACAAACTTTAGAGGATCACAGAGAAGGAGCATTAAGATGAAGCCATGCAGAGCAGTACTTGGGAGCAGATCTGCATCTCTCTGCAGGTTTACTCCACCTATGCACTATTAGGGGCTGCACTTGGTGAGTCCCCATGGCACAGGAACACCCATTCCCAGCTGTACCAGCAGCTCAGTGCTCCCACCCTGCTGGGCTGCCCCCACACACCTGCCTGGCCCCAAGCTCAGAGAGCCGTGCATGCCAGGGTGGGAGGACACCCCCAGCAGGGTGCTGGAATGGCAATGGAAAGAGGTTTACCCTGCAGGTGCTTGCAGCACGGAGAGCAGCTGGCTGTGTGTGTAGTCCCAGGCGGTTTCCACTGCACCGATGTAGTATCTTCTGACTTTGCTGATGCCCTCCTCAACCAGGCAGAGGAGCAGCAGGCCATGCAGTGTTCCCACCAGCATCGTGCCCGCCAGCTGGGAACTGCTCTGGCCTCAGGAGGAGTGGGAAGGAAGAAAGAAGATAGGAGAGAAAAGCCTTTATCTTCTCATCCAGCTGTTGTAATCCATAGAAGACGGTGACCTAAAGCCAGGAGCCACGGGTTCTGTCATAGTGCTGGACAGTTTTCCAAGCACATCAGGAGCAGAATGGCTCGAGCGCGTTGCTGCAGAGGAGTGTGTGAGCGAGGGACCCTCCTGCTCTTCCTCTGGGCAGCCAGTGCCAGGAGGAAAGGAAAAAACAAAAGGAAAGGGGGGGGCCAGCACAGTGTAAGTTCCACCGCAGGATCCCAGCTGGCTCAGTGTCCCAGCCCGTGTCTGGGAGCGAGGTGAGGAAAAGGGAGGGTTGCAGAGGAAGTGGAATTTAGGTGCGGTCCCTGCCTGGTCCCACCTTCCCACTGCAGAGGGTGGGTTGCAGGTCAGGGCCCCGTTGCTGCCCTGGCTACTAGAGCCTTTATTTCCCCTGGGCTTGGCTGGGGGCCTGCAGGGCGCTTGGCATCTGCAGCAGCAGAGCTTGGAGGTGAGCAAACAGCCAGGGACGCACACGGGCACGTCCCTAGGGGGGGAGCATCCCTGTCCC